AATCAAAAATCGCAATAAAACGACATTCTTTCAAAATAAAAAGGCATTGACCTCCATTTTAAATTTCATTTTGACAGGTCGTTGGATTTACAGTGGCTAAATAAACCTTTACCAGTGGCGACAATAGAGGTCCCGCCGCGATCTTGTTCCCAACCTCTTGTTACTTTTAAATAATTAATATATAGGATTTAAATGGACATCTATCATAAAAAATTGAAATCGACGTATTTGATGACCATTATTATGTCCATCAAATACGTTGTTTTCCATGATTTATGATGGATGTTCACCTAAATCCCATATATTCATATTTAAAAATAACAAGGGGTTGGGAACAAGATGGAGGTGTTTTCAATGTAAATATATGGGATTTTAGAACCAATCAAAAATGAGACAGCAGTTGTCGCCACTGTGGGTTATAGAGTCGCTGTAGTTGGATTGCCCTATTATGCATTAAAATAAGTGACAGTAGAATTAGTCCAGGAGATTATTATGTATTATGCGTGTCCCAGATTCCAGATACTTTTCGTGGCGATGGTAAAGTGCGACAAGTGAGTGAACCTTGGTAACGTATGAAGTAGCAGAGGGGAAGACGAAAACCTATACTATACGACGCGACGGGTCCTCAACGTGGTGCATTGCGAAAATTGCGGTTACCCTGACGCGACGATCCGCGTATATGTATATTTAATCTCGGGCCAATGAGGAGGGTTCTGCGGATGATACACACTATTACTACTGTACTACAACAGGACATAGAGCTACAGGATGGCCTATCCTCATAGGCCAGTGTGTAACAAATCTCCAACCTCTTCCCCCACCTTACGCCAAACTACCAGTTGTGACGTAGCCAGCATGTTATTTAACACACCAATATGGCGTCGATTACCAAAAACGAGGCTGATAAGCAATCCTGTAGGGTGTGTATCATCCTTGGTACAGAAACGCCTTCTACAACTCAACTGCCAATATTACATTCCTTCCAATAATGTGTGAGCTGTGAACTAATATTAGGCGAGTTCGGGTAATCCTTCGCTAGTTAAAAGATGACATTATTGACGGAAGCTCACGTGATGCTTCCATTTGAAATCATAGATCAAGAACGATAAACCATAAGATGATAGTCGCTTTTCGTAAGCGCCGCGTTCGCCAATTTAGCCGACCGCATAGGTTATTGACCAGACGCGTGACGTACTCCGGCCCACCGATCCAAAGATTTGGTATTAGTTACATTGCTCGATATTCCTCTGTAATGAAAATTCGAGAAGTTTAATATAAAACTTGTCGAAATTTATTGCATTAAAAGCCTATTTTGGCATTGGCACATCATTAAATGGCTAAACCCAAGGTTGTTTGAGAGAGGTCGGTTGCCTCATAGCTTTATGACGTCATCCGGGGTGCCTTAACACAATGCAAATCTCCATAAGGCTCCCCAGACGCGTCATCAGGTTACCCATTACAAGGCAACTTATAAACTTCAGGAACCTTGGGTTAAACCATATTATCTTCCTATAACAATAACAATAACGCATAAAACTTGTTTCGAGTGAGCCAGGTGACGTCCCTAGAGCAGCGCGTGCCCCCGCTAAACTGGCGGAAAACTATCACCGATGTAACCATTCTCTGTGGTTTATCGTTCTTGATTAAAGATTACCTGAGCTCTATCCAAGGCTCCTAAAGTTGATAGGTTGTCTGGTAATGGGTAACTTGATGACGCATCTGGGTGCCTTATGGAGATTTGCATTATGTTGAAGCATCTTAAATGACGTCATGCAGTTATCCAGGCAACCTGCCTCTCTCAATAATAACCTTGAGGTCTATCGTTTTTTGCTCGCGCAGGATTAACGATTACCCGAGCCGCATTCTTTCGCAATATATTTGAATCATGATTCCGAGATCCTGATCCGTTTGTTCAATTGGAACATGTTTGAATTTTGAGGTCCGAAAGAACGCCAATGCGGTTACCTGACGACACACTTGTTTTTTCCTTATGAAACATCTCCTCGCTCCTCATACGGAAAGTGTCAGATTAAAAACGACGGACTTTACGTCGCATTATTATTTCTTTATTGGTCGAGATTTTTGAGCAAGTTTTCGACATTACAAAATGCAATGACAAAATTGAAGAAAAATATTGCTGAGACATACGTTTAAAAAACCCGAGAAAAAACCATAGCCATCTTTGATTTTTTTTTTGAAGACCCATTACAATTGACACAAGATTTTCCAAATTGACAGTAATTTAAGTAGGTAGGTATTTTACTAATGAAATAAAGTGCACTTTAATGTACTAGTAGGTACCTTCTATATAAAAACTACTTATAAAATCAAGTCAGAAATGATGTTAAGGGGTTTTAGTAATTTTGGTAAATGTGTGTATTTAATTTCAGTAATTTTAGTAAATGTGAGTAATTTTTTTGTAATTTCAGTAATTTTAGTAAATGTGTGTATTTTTTTTGTAATTTCAGTAGTTTTAGTAAATGTATGTAATTTTTTAGTAAGTATTGGTAATTCTGGTAAATGTGTGTAATTTTCGGTAATTTTGTAAATATCATTAAATATTTTGTAATTATTTGTAAATATTATTTTGGTGTACACGATTGTTCGGAGTGGTTACCCCCTCGGTTTGGCCATACTTCATGATCAACATAAAATTTAATTTTAAAATAAATACTTTTTTTGCTTCTCCTGAAAAATTTACATATTGTTACTTATCCCCTTCTTGCATCAGGGTCTTCAATTGGAAACGCCATAATTAATTATAACAAAAAAAGTCTCATCCATGGTTACAAAAATCCAGGAACCATTAAAAATGTTTTTGTGGGTGCGCTCGGAATGGAACACACTAAGGGTGGGTATTATAAAGCTGCTCTGACAGTTAACTTACAGTTAACTTTTTGAATTACATGTAATTCAAGAAGTTAACTTTAAGTTAACTCTCAAAGTAGTTTTATAATACCCGCCCTAACGTCGTTTCCGATTGGTATATCTAGTGCAGAACTAGTGCAATTTTTTCTATTTCTGTCTTTCTCTTCTACAGGTCGATTGAAAGGATGCAAATACACTCAGGGCGCACTGAATCTACCAATCGGAAACGCCATAAGTCGAGACTGGTATGGGACTGCCTAAAGCAACTGGCGTCGCATTAAGGCCGAAACCCACTAGCAACACGCCACGTTATGCTTCGCCACGCCACGCCATGTGACGAAAATGTATGCGTACATTCTTCCATTTATTTATATGTGCCGCGTACACACTTGCCACACGCGATACCACGCCACGCCATCCGTCCATTTGCACACAAACTGTCCCACGTGAACCTGTGTCACATGGCGTGGAGTGGCGTAGTATGGCGTGGCGTGTTGCTAGTGGGTTTCGGCCTTTAGAGTCACCCTGTCATGTGTACCAGGGTACCAAGGAGTCGAGAGGAATGAAATAGCGAACCAACTTGCAAGACAAGGAGATGCAACATCATTCCTTGGATCAGAACCTTCCTTTGGCCAAAATAGGGTGAAGGCTCAACAAGCCTCTGGTTCGAACAAGCTTCCAGGACTTTAGACAGGCGGAACAATTTATCTCACCCCAGTAATTAAAGTCAAAAGAAATTATTTATCTTAGTAAAGCGGATCTAAGATTACTTACAGGGCTCGTATTCTCGTCACCGGAGAACAGCGTTCTCTCAAGAGAACGATTGCTCTGTCTTAGTCACCCATATTGTTATTTTCATATTACTGATAAAGACAGAGCAATCGTTCTCTTGAGAGAACGGTGTTCCCCGGTTACGAGAATACGGGCCCAGGCCTCCTTGCGGATCACTACCTTCTGGGTTACCACCTGTCACCCCTACTTAAGCTCTGTGAATGTGAACATTATAGGCTTTGCCAAAAGCCTTAATCTGGGATCCACTAGATATAAGGGAAATCAAAATATGTAAAGACCGTCGATTTTTATCTGATACTCCAAAGGAATGAGAGATGGTGGCACCCTACGTTAGAACACTAATGGTCCCTGACGTCACACCAGTTTTTGCCATATGCTTCACCCCCTCGCCCCTCATACGGTAAGCGTCAGATTTAAAACGACCGACAATTAATACATCTAATCAGGTCGCAGTGCGGAGAGGTCCATAACCTAAACACCTCAACCATCACAATCTACCACTTCATTGTCATGCTCATGCTTAAACTCCAGTGTTTTTCTTATTAGCCAGAGTGTTGGGAAGAAACACAAAAATCGATCCCAAAACTTCAGAAGACTGCAGACTACTGGAGGCCTTATTTTATCAACCGGAGAAGAAAACAACTCACGCGATGATCCGCAACTTTGCAGTTGACATGTCATATATGTGAGGTAAAAACTGTTTAGGGATAGTTACAAGGAAGATGGAAGAAATTTCGGCTTACTTACCTGCCAAAGATTCAATTTTGGAAGAAGATATTCAGATAGGCACACCGTGGTTCTCTAAATGAAGAGATTACCCCTTCCAAATTTTAATAAAGTAAGAGATCTTGGCATCATTATAGACAAATAATTATCTTTCATATTATTATATGGCAAAAAGTTTCATCAATCGATCGGACAGGCCGATTCACGTAGGTAATATATTATGTGCCCAAGCATTTTTCACAACCAACACCCAAGTTGCGCCAAAAACTCTATATCCTAGCATGCCAAGCCAAACTAACCTGTCATGTAAACCACCTGAATTTAAGAAAATTGTACATCGGTGTCTAAATAGTTATAATATATGTATATTCTGAACCAAACATCATATTATGTTGCATAACTTAATTACGTGCTTGTTATTCAATTACTTTTATCCGTTGGTAGGTACTGTATCTATTTTATATTATTCCTTATCATTTACATCTTGTAATTGAAAATCCTCCTGTTAGACAACAAACACAATTTTGATTTATTAAATACGACTGAATGTGCTTCATGTAGTAAACAGTTTATCAACTCTCATAGAATGGGCAACAAAAATAAATTCAAAAACATGTTTATAAATAAAAAATATATTTTTATATCTGAAATGCTACAGTATAACATCTCTACAATTGTCTTCAATAGTATAACTGCATTTTATGTGCAGTAGAACCCTGATTAACATAGAACAGGATTACCAGAGCAGATTTTGACTTGTGCAGCTGATGCGCCAATTACCGAGAATGGGTATGTTGTATAAATATTTTTGTATTGCCTTTAAATAAAACATTGACTGAAGAAGTTCCCGATAATTAATATTGGAAATTGAGTTTCCAGTTGTATAATTTATGATGCATAATCAGGGTTCTGCTGTATAATACTCTAACATCGTAGATTGTATTTTCCATCAGAACCGATAGTAAAAATGAAAAATCTATTGATTGCCTGCTTTATCAATTATTACACTCAGATTCTGAGATTTGCACTTATTACAATAGGTATCTGTATAATTTAACCATTTTCTACCCTCAGATCTGATGTACCATAGAAAAAAATCAATTAATATTTGGTAACCATTTTTAATTACTTTCTTATATGTCATTCAAGTAAATTTTCTATAAGCTGAGTATGCGGAATGTAAAAATTAACCTTAAGAATGTCATGCAGTTATTCCATATACCTTCCTACTAAGCTACCTACACACATATATGTAAGGTTGTGCCATAAACGTTTTTTTTTTTTGGGTGCATTACAATCTAGTAGCTCTGTTTCAACTGACATGGGAACCATTCTAGAATGGTAATTTCCAGCCGATCAATTCATTTGTCAAGTAGGATAAACGATTAACATATTGAAAAATAGGTGGGGAACTGGAAATTACTGGTTCTGGAACAGTTGGAACAGAGCTGAAGTATTAGCAGTATGAAAACTTAAATAAGTAGATAATTTATTAATTAATTACTGTATATTTATAGGGTTTTGAATTTGAAAAAATATGTAAGTAAATTTGGAAAAAAAAGAAAAATAATTCCTAAAAAATTGTAATTTTTGAAATAGAGATTCAATTTATTTTCTTGTCACAAATTTACTTTATTTTTCGTCATGAGAGCCTATTTTAAATTAATTACATTGTGCAAATACTAAATTAATATTAAAATATATAAAAAATAATTTAAAAAACTACCTACTTTGGCCACAAACATTTTTTTTTTTTCGAAAATCATATTTTTAACTGATACACCTCAAATGTTTTCTTACAACAGTGAGTAAAATACCTGCTATATAAATAGCTGTTTTAAATTATTTCGTATTTACTTGAGACACTTACCTTAATACTCATTTACCCATAATGATATTTTATTATGCTAAAAATACTTATTTGTAAGCCCTTATTACATAAACATATCATCAGGGGCCGGTTTATTCACCTTCTAATAAACTGTCAGGAATGCAATCTGGCGAATGAAAACGCAATCTGTAATCCCATTGGTCGTCCAGTTATTCGCCGACCAATAGAATTATAGAACGGTAAATTTATCTTGCAGATAGTCACCAGCAAGTATATCAGAAGATGAATAAAACAAATCCTAAAAGTTAATAAATATTTTTATTTGCAATAACAACACCCATGGACAAGAGCTATCGAATAGTTTTTTTTCTATCACTATGACTTGAAAATAAAAATAAGATTTTGTTATATGTATAGGGTGTACCATTTAAAACAAAACAGGCTAAATATCTGATGCCATATTTTTTTTTTTTTTTAATCGCTCGTACACGTAATTTGATTTTCAAAGGGAAAAGTTTTCTGCAACCATTTTTAGCACTTCAACTATGGGGTGGCGCCAACCCTTACTATATCAAAATGGAACAAGGGGTGGAGTGATACCTTTTTTAAAAGAGTGTTCAATTCTCTTTCACTTGACAGAAAATTGAACGCTCGTTTAAAACAGGTATCACTCGACCCCCTGTTCCATTTGGAATGGTAAGGGTTGGTCCCACCCCCCCTAGAGGTTTATGTTAATGCTGAAAATGTTTCAAGAACTCACACAATCAAGCGATTTAAAAAAAAAAGTTACATCAGATATTTAGCCTGTTTCGTTTTAAATGGCATACCCTGTATAATTGTCCTTTGCAATGTTAGTTTAAAAACATTTCGACGAAATTTAAAAAAAGCCGGTTTAAAGTCAAGACGTCAGTTTCACATCACGAAGCTCCACTACTAGAATGTTTCATATTATAATCCGAGAAATATCGAGCATTCTGTTGTGCGACTAGAATTCATTTAGGGACAAAACCAAGTTTACAGAAGAGTTGGGAAACGATATTATAGATTAAATCTCAGACATAGGGATCGTTTCGTCATCCCAATCAATCCTGATACCATTAACATAGTTCCAATTCCAATTTACTTGTGACAAGAATTCTTTAGAATTTAATATTTTCAAGACAATTTTTTATAAACCAGGATAATTTTGCCCATGAGTAAGTGTAATTAGAAACATTTTAAAATTGATAACTCTGAATAATAAGTTTATTTTACACCTTCTAGAACCAGCTACATACTTCCTATACCTAAGATTATCACAATAAAAATGAGGAAAGTTGTTGAACCATCATGGTATGTTGCTAATCTACGAAAATATATGTCAGCATTGGATTAATTTTGTTTTATTTCTATTAATCCAAAGCTAGTAAATTGGGATTCACATGCCAGTGCTTATTTTTGAATCCTAATTTTAAATAATGATACTATAAATTGTCTGTAATGATATAAAATTGTAGAATATAATACATATTAACAGTTAACACCAATAAAATTGTTGTCATTTAGCATGTATACAGTATAACCAGTAATCAGCTTTGAACATTAAAATTTGCGTGTTTGTTCTTCATGCTCATGATGTTCGGCAAAATGGAATTAAATAACAAATCATTTATTCATGAAGCAATTCTTGTAAGTAAATCCGAAAAAGCAGTTTCGATCAACTACTTTACATGGTGTCGAAGATGTGGGAGAATTTTGAGATCTAAAGTCTATTAATTGATATAGTCGGTACTCAATGGAATTCATTACAAATTTTGAAAGGAAACAAAAAAGTTTCTAGATTTCTACAATTCTAATTGTATGAAATTGTAAAGTGCTTCAGCACATGGTGCCTACTACAGACAAATTGAAAATTGTATTGAGAAACAAAAAGTAATGCTACTTGGGCATCAAAAGATTTAGAATGATGAATGTTTTTGACTATTTCGTCAATAATATACAGGGTCTCCCATTTGAAACTCGAAAGTTAACATTAAAATAAAATCCTGTTATAAAAGACACACTTGCTACCAAAATATCGGGTGAGAAAAGATACAAAAGTTATAGTGTAGCAAATGCTTTCATTCTACCTCCGTCTCTTGAAAGTCTCTTCTTGCTGCATTAAAGCTGAATATGTTTATCTCAAAAAACTTAAGTGAAAACATTTGTTTCTGTTTTATTCATATGAGCCAATATCTCTAGGCTTTGTAAAAAAATATTACTATTTTGCCTTTTTCATGGTGGTACCCTAATTAATTCGATTTGACAATAATTTTCCAAGAAAAAAAAACAATTAAGTTTATATCATAGGATGAAGTAGTTTCTTGTCTGTCTAGAGTCGAGATCTTGATCAATTTCAAGACAATTTTTCAAATGCTGAATTTTGATATTTGTTTCAGTTTTTCAAATAGCCATAATGCAGTGGTTGTTTGTCTGCCTAGCCCCTAAACCTCAAAAAGTAGAATAAATTGATTGAGATTCCTTTGGGCAAAAGAAAAACAGTAGCATGTGGACTTTACTGGCCACACTGTATGCAAGTCTAACACGTATAAGGTTTATTATTAGTATTTTGCCAAAAACCTAAAATACTAAAAAAAAATTAATCATGAAGTGTCAATGGCTTAAGTTAAAAAGAATATTAAGTAAATTATAAGTACCTATGAAAAGTTGTTTTTTTTTGTCAATACACCCTGTATACAATTAGAAAGTAAATACATGTTTTTTTTAGCGATATTGTCTCGCCAAAAATCTATAATTTGAACATTTTAGGCAATATTGTCGTCTTTGTGTATACTTGATGGATTACCATTCGCACCTTCTTTAACTTTTCTATCGGTGCCGTTTGTAATTTCGATATTTTTTGATTTATCCATTAATTCTTCTGCCTCGTTTTTGTCTGATTCCATATTTGCATAATTCCAGGGTTGAATCTAAAATGTAACATAAGATACAGGTAAAAATTAACATTAGCAGTTACAACATAAATATAAATACTCTACTTTTTTATAATAACATATTCGTTCGACTTTTGTATGTAATGAATAAATAAAATACATACACTGGCAAAATTATAGTTGGGGAGCTGGCGTCAAAAACATGCAAGAGTTTTCGCAAGGCGGATATTTTCAAAATAGGTCGTACTTTAGTGTTAGAATGCTAGTGTACAGTCAGCACTCACAATTCCGGGACAGCTGGCTCTGGGACGCGGGCAAAGTTGTAATTTTAAGAAGCATCTAAACTGTTTTCTCAAAGCTCAAAATTTATAGAAATTTTGCACATTATCTGTTTGAAGGTCACAGATAACGTATGTAAATCGTCAGACGTCTAGTTCGTTGCAAAAAGGGGGTCAGACGTCCTCAAAGTTTTTATTTTATGGCATTTTCTTCGGTGTCCTGTCAAAATATATTTTTGCAGGTATTTGACAAATATATTTGAAGAAAATGCCATAAAATAAAAACTTTGAGGACGTCTGACCCCCTTTTTGCAACGAACTAGACGTCTGACGATTTACATACGTTATCTGTGACCTTCAAACAGATAATGTGCAAAATTTCTATAAATTTTGAGCTTTGAGAAAACAGTTTAGATGCTTCTTAAAATTACAACTTTGCCCGCGTCCCAGAGCCAGCTGTCCCGGATCTGTGAGTGCTGACTGTACACTAGCATTCTAACACTAAAGTACGACCTATTTTGTAAATATCCGCCTTGCGAAAACTCTTGCATGTTTTTGGCGCCACCTCCTGGACTATTAGGGGAACGGGCAAAATTTACACTAAGTTTGGCATGAATTTTTTCTTGAACCCTTTACTCGATTTCGATGAATGTTTCACAGATTGTAGCTTGATTCTTCAGGATAACATCTGATGTATTACCGTTATTAAATGATTCGTCTTTATATCATATACAAGGATGGAAAGAAAGTCAGCAATTTTCAGAGTTTTTTGAAATACCCTGTGGAGTGAATTACTAGAAATTCAGAACAGTTTTCAACACCAAATTGGAGCCTGAACTTTTCCGAACATTTTCATTTTTTATTTACTCTGATATTTTCAATATTATTGAAAATACAGAGTTTCGAAGAAAAGGAGGATATTGACCTTAATTTTCTCGACGTCGACATACGAATTGAATATGAAAATGTGTGTGAATGTTTACTTCAAGTTAAATATTGCTCGCAGTTTTACCTCTTACCGATCAATTTATTGTGAAAAAAATGCTCACAAATATACAGGGGGGTCAGAAAGTCCCTTTTATGATTTCCATTTGGTGGAATGTTATTTATCTAAACTAAACTCTCTAAACTCTCCCTTCACACTTAACCAAGGCTTAGGACTTTTTCAATTTACCCCTCAACAGCCCTCGCCACATCGGTAGGATATTGACAAATTTATTATTATTTGTTCAAGTAAAATCACGAATTTTCACCTTGACAGCAACTCAAAAAAAGGATCAAGTTGAAGACCATTACTGAACCTCCACCATATGAAACAGAAGCAGTGAAATTGAATTTTTCATTTTGTTCTCCTCGGCGGCGATATAATCTTGCCCTGTCATCGATAGAATTAAATGCAAAAGCGGCTCTCATCTGTGAAAAGAACGTTGGTCCAATGGTCATATTCCCAATTTTCATGCTCCCTAGCGAAGCGTAGTCTTACCACTCGATGACGATGCTGGAGTTTCGGAGTTTTCTTTATTCTACAGGGTGTCCCACGGTGGATGGCGTATTAGACGTTTATGGAGAACTAAAAAGCGGATCATTTTGAAAATTTGGCAACCGGGATAAACGACCATGATCTACACTTTAAAAATATTTTTGACCATGCGGTGTTGCCGCTTCTACTGTAAACTAGTGGCAACATCGCTATTTTAAATAGAACACCCTGTATGTGATTGCATATTTGGATTCTACGTAAAATTCTGAGCAGATTTCATGTGATATACCCTATATCTAAGTTCAACTGTTTCGGAAATATTGACAGTTGAAAATTGACTTTTTGCAACTTTGACAGGCTGTAAAACCTAATTGGTTAATTTTAGAGGAAACCCGATTTCACATTCCTATCTTAGATTTTGATAAACTATCATTTGACACCAACTTTGAACTTAACCGGAGATTAAATTTAACTGGAATTTTTAATCATGGATTTAATTCAAAGTTGGTGTCACATGATAGTTTATAAAAATCTGAGATAGGAATGTAAAATCGGTTTTCCTCTAAAATTAACCGTTCAGGTTTTACAGCCTGTCAAAGTTGCAAAAAGTCAATTTTCAACTGTCAATATTTCCAAAACACTTGAACTTAGGTATAGGGTATATCACATGAAATCTGCTCAGAATTTTACGTAGAATCCAAATATGCAATCACATACGGTGTGTTCCATTTAAAATAGTGATGTTGCCACTAGTTTAAAGTAGAAGCGGCAACACCGTATGGTCAAAAATATTTTTAAAGTGTAGATCATGGTCGTTTATCCCAGTTGCCAAATTTTCAAAATGATCCGCCTTTTAGTTCTCCATAAACGTCTAATACGCCATCCACCGTGGGACACCCTGTATAGACCTTCAAACCAATTTCTTTGAGTCTTCTGCTGATGGTTCGATGACTTTTCCTCCTTCCACGTACTTCTTCCAGTTCGCTTTCTATTTGTGGTACTGTTCTACGCCTGTTCCGTAATGTTTGCAAAACAATAAATCTCTCGTCTCTAGCCGTGGTTGACCGTTTTCTACCTTGGCCTCGTCTCCTCACATACTCTCCCGTTTGCCTCCAACGTCTTACATTACGATAGATTGTGGGTTTTGATTTTCCTAACATATCAGCAACATCAGTGTAAGATCTACCATTCTCAATCAACACTACAGCCCTCACCACATCAGTAGGAGTCATATCAACCATGTTGGATTATCAATTAAAATTAAATAAGAATGTTGACTTTCGCTTGACTTTGACTTGACAATAACCAACGACACAAAGAAAATTGTATTCGTAATAGTATATTATATAATAAGTTTGGTAACTAGATATTTACCGCACACGAAAGAAATTTGCGAACCGAGCCGGTGAGGCGAGGTTTGCAATCTCTAAGGGCGGTAATAACCTAATTACCATACGTATTATATACAGTATTTTATCTACAAGCGTGCGGTAACAATATATCCGAAAGAAATTTAAAAAAGTATTACAAAAGAAATTGCGTGTGTCACCTTTGACAGCGAACAAGTAGAATTTAGGTGATAGGTAGGTAATTTATTTCTGGTAGGTAATTAAAGGTACGTACCTATGTAGGTAGAGATGCGGTATGTGGTACTTACCGCACACAAAATCGTGTAATATACCTTAGTTACCGCACGCTTGTAGATAAACGTAATTTTTCCTGTTCAAATAACATTTAATTTGTCAATATCCTACCGACGCCGACGTGGCGAGGTCTGTTGAAGAATAAATTGGAGAGCTCCTAACCCTTGGTTAAGTGTGAAGGGAGAATTTAGTTTAGATAAATAACATTCCACCAAATGGAAATCATGAAAGGGACTTTCTGATCCCCCTGTATATTTGTGAACATTCTTTCCACAATAAATAATGGATCGGTAAGAGGTAAAACGTCATTGGGTAAAACTGCGAGCAATATTTAACTTGAAGTAAACATTCACACACACGACTTGAAGTTGGAAAACGACACATTCTCATATCCAATTCGTATGTCGACGTGGAGAAAATTAAGGTCAATATCCCTTTCCTCGAAACTTTGTATTTCCAATAATATTGAAAATATCAGACAGAATAAAAAATGAAAATATTCGGAAAAGATCAGACTCTGAAAATCACTGACTTTCTTTCCATTCCAGTATATGATATAAAGACGAATCATTTAATAACGGTAATCCGTCAGATGTATTCCTGAAGAATCAAGGTACAATCTGTGAAAAATTCATCAAAATCGATCGTAGCGTTCAAGAGAAAATTGATGTCAAAATTAGTGTAAATTTTGTCCGTTCTCCTAATTTTGCCGGTGTGTGTATATTAAGGATAAAGTCTTACCTCTGCAGTTCCCCACCATTGGAAAAACACATAAGTACTGCATGCGACAAAGCAAGAAACGTAAAATACTGTTCTCCAGGCGGACATTAAGTGTTCCTTTTTGTCCAGCAACTGGAAATTCGCCAGCGGACTTAGAAAACTGGCAGACATGTGAATGGTTTGAGCGAACGCTAATACTGGACCGGCGAAATTTGGTGCTATGTCGACTACATTTGCCATTGCACCTGAAAGAAAACAATCAAATATGAATACATAATTCTCAAGAAAATACAACAGAAAGGGACAATTTGACGAATAAATTTCAAGTTCTCCTTAGCACTAAAGATTCCTTAAAAATTGTTAGTGTAGGACGAAATAAAACTCACCTGCGTATGAAGCGGTTATCATTGTGACTGCAATGAACCATACTACGAGTACCAAATCGATGTCACAGCCCAAATAACTAACTAGGGTTACTAAGATTCCTGGAACTACCTGAGCTGTAAATGAAGGAAATATGATTACATTTTCAGCAGAATATAATTTCTATGAATTTTAAAACATTATAATTATGTAATTACATATTTTAAAGCCGCAACCAAATCAAAAAATCTGGAATCTGGCCGCTTTGACTTTTTTTTTGACACAGAAATGATCAAGATTCCTAGGAAAATAAAACAATGACATAATGAACATCGAAAGTGAATAACTATTGTGCAATCGATTTCAGGTTTAAGATTCATTTATTCAGATTGAAAAGAAGCTTTGCTAATTGCCAACAAAATATTTCAACTCTAGCAAACCCACGGATAGTTGAAGACTAAATCAATTGAATTTTCTAATAGTGTCCGTACATGAATACACAGTGTTATATATGCAATAATTGGGCAGTACTAACTAGATATCACGTTTAGAAGTGCATGAACTGATAAAATTTGCCAAACCAGTTTTTAGCAATTTTGAATTTGCCAACAATGGGTCTTTTACGTGGAACTTTTTGATATGCTTGTTTGAAGGTCTTATCAAAATAAAGTCCAAAAATATTATTTTACGATTTTTTCGATACCAAGAATTTCCATTTCAAATCCAAATTGTGTGAGCTGCTGACGTTACCATCCATTTTTGCCATGTTGTTGATTTACGAAACCTTTTTTCTCGTATATTTTTCTGTAAATTGACATATCGAGCACATATTGATAACAATTTGGTTCAAATGTTAACCATGTGGTAGTATACAAACACAGCGCAAGCAGGTTTCCGCTTACCGGTAACTAGCGCCGACTCGCGCTTAGGTGAATGCATGTTTTTAAATCGGCTAGTACACAGTAAAAAGCAGGTCGAAGCAGGTAGAGGCGGGAACCAGCGTTCTCGTTTTAACTGGAACGAAAATTTAGTTTATTTCTGCTTTTGCACGCGTCGCGGCAGTGTCTTTTCAGTTTTTGTGATGGATAAGAAGTTACTAATAGCTGCAATTTTTTGAAAAACCCCTTCTGTTTGTCTTTAATTTAGTATGCGCAGAATCTAGAGCAATCAAATCATCATCATCCGAAGATGTTATATCTCTAGTGTACAAACACAGTGCAAGCAGGTTTCCGCTTACCAGTAACCAGCACCGACTCGCGCTAATAAGCGCGAAAAATGAATGCATGTTTTCAAATCGGCTAGTACATAGTAACAAACAGGTAGAGTACCTGCTTTTTACTGTGTCCTAGCCGATTTAAAAACATGCATTCATTTTTCGCGCTTATAAGCGCGAGTCGGTGCTGGTTACCGGTAAGTGGAAACCTGCTTGCGCTGTGTTTGTACACCTAGGCTAGAAGTTCGAGACGAGACACAACTGGCAGGTGGCAGATTTGAAGTTTAAAAAGATTTTCTCGCTTTTGCAGGTATTCAGTCTGTGCTATCTCGGCGCCAGAACACTGCGCAGATCGGCACTGCTTACCAGTAAGCGAAAACCCTCCTTGCACTGTGTTTGTACACTAGAATGGGTATCTATAGTTGAATACCATAAGCTCCGATGCTGTTAGCACCCGTTGTTACATAAGTCAATTTGACAGTGATCGTTCATCGTAATTGTCAAGTTGTCAAGCTGTTAATTTAATTGTACAAACGTTTATGCTACTGTCGACTAAATAAAACTGTTGAATCAGAGTCAGGAAGTTGGTTTAATTATACAGAAATACTATGCGCATCCATAGGTTATGGGCCCAGACTGGAAAATTTAATATCAAGTGCAAAACTTTGGAAACCGCGAGGGTAAGCTAGCGACATCAAACGTTTCGATGGAAGCGGTTTTTCTAATTGGGAATTTCGAGTCAGCCTAGTTCCGGAACAAGCAGAAGTGCTTTCTGTTTTATCAAAGACACCGCCTGCAGCGACAAGCGTGGCAGAACTTAACGCCTTTACCAAAAATGACGTAAAAGCACGAAATATCTTGATACAATGTCTCTCAGATAACGTTTTAGAACTAGTTAAAGGAAAAACTACTGTCAAGGAAATTATTGAGATACTCCGAGGAACATACTGTAAAATTGGAATAGCAACACAGGTACAGCTACAACAGAAACTAAGGTCACTGAAATAGAAATATATTGAGGGAACTCCTCTTAACTCTTTCATAACTGAGTTTGAGCACACTGTTTTTGAACTAAAAGCTGCTGGTGGAAAAATTGAACAGAGTGAAATAATTTCATAATTACTAACATCGATGCCGGAGTCATTTCAAGACATTGTTACAGCCCTTGACGTTATATTTACTCATAATGAAACGAAAGTGACATTAGAGTTAGTCAAAAACAAACTACTTATGGAAGAGACTTGATAGACAAAGGCATTTGACGAGAAACAAACAGGAAATGATGCAGTAGTTGTAGGACACAGAGGACATAGGGATTATAAGAATTTTGGAAATAGAGGAAATTTTGGAAATGGAGGTAATAGAGGTGGTGACAACTTTTTAAATCCAAATAGTGAAGCAAATACCAATTATTTTCCATATAATAGCCACAATTGTGGAAAAGGAAAAGGTCACAGACGAGTAGATTGTACACAAAGAGGAAGAGGATTTCAACAAGGCAGAAGAGGAGCCTATGTGACAGAAGAAAGCAATGAAAATAGTGATAAGCCGATTTCATTTTTGACGACAACTGAACAGGAAAGTACAGCTAACAATTCAAAAATTGATTTTGTTATAGATAGTGGTGCATCACACCAGCTTGTTCAAGATAAGTTTCGCAAATATATCACTGATTCAAGAGCTATTGATTATAGCATAAAGCTATTAAAATCTGGTTCTTGAATAAAAGCTGTGCAAGAAGGAAACATGAAAGTTGAGATTGGAAACCAGGCCATCATAATAAACAATGTTTGGGTTTGTGACAGATTATTTGGAATTTATTGTCAGTCCGAAAATTAGAAGAAGCCGGGTTAGAAGTTTCATTCACAAATAATGAAGCTATCATTAAGAAAGGAAAAATGGAAATTTTAAAAGGAAAACTAACTGGAAGTTTATACACAATTACTAGTCCTAGCCCGGCAAAATTTCCTAGTCCCCAGATTAAAAAACCCTACTGTAGATTACCTGATTTCAGAAAGCCAACAATAATTTTAGAAACCATATCTAGCGACGTATGTGGTCTCATCAATCCAGCAACGCATGACGGAAATAACTATTATGTAAGTTTTATTGACCACTACTGTCATTTTTGTGTTGTTTACTTAATTGCTTAGAAAAGTGAGGTAACACAAAAGTTCGAAGAATTTATAGATATGACTTTCTTTTATTTTTTGATTTAAAAGAAAAATAGAAAGGTTATGCTGTGACAATGGTGGGGAATATATTTTTTGAAATTTTAAAAATCTATGCAAGTATCATGGCATACAGATTCAATACACAGTTCCGAGAAATCCCCAACAAAATGGTGTTGCAGAAATTTTTAACAGAAATATTATGAATATTTCAAGATGTTTGATTTTGTATTCAAATCTATCAAAAATCTTTTGGGGAGAAGCTGTGAGATGTGCTGTTTACGTATTAAATCGTACAGAAACAAGTGTATTAGTAAATAATATAACCTCTGCAGATATTTGGTATGGATATAAACCAGATCTCAACAAAGTCAAACTTTTTGGCTGTGAACCATATAATTTAATCATAAAAAAAGATAGGAAAACTAAGCTCGATGTTCGAAGCAGAAATATGATTATGATAGGATACTCTGATAACAGATATAGGCTGTGGAACCCAGAAGAAAATAAAATAGTTCATGTGCAATGTAACCGACATTCATAAATGAATTGAGTCAACAAGATGAGACAGTAGAAGATTTTATGGAACATTTGGAAGAAAAAGAAGAAAATGTTAAAATTATGGAAGAAATTGAGGAAACGGAAAAGTTAAAAATAACAAGTAATGAAAACAAACGACACGGTACCCGAATTAGACAGAAACCACGATATTCAGACGATTACAACCTAAACTTTGAAGATAATTTAATGATGGCTTTATCGACTGGAAATTTAATAACAGATGTACCACAGACCTATGAGGAAACAGTAGAGGACAGCGAATCGAAGACAGCGATAGAAGAACAACAGAATTATTCTCGACAGAATTCAATGAAAAAGCTGTCAACTTCGGAATTGGTATCACCTCCTTATTATCAAGAGATCATAGATTCGAATTGGGTATTTCGGAAGAAAATTGTTAATGGAACAGAAGAGAAAAAGGCGCGTTTAGTGGCTCGTGCCTTTCTTCAGAGTGAGCTCTATGTTAGCATTCGCAGTTTGTTATGTCTATATCTTGAGTCAGGCATGTGTATGCGACAGCTAGATGCCAATTCAGCCTTTCTTTATGGAGATCTTGAAAAATCAGTGTATATGCAGCAACCCAAGGGTCTTAACGGTAATCCAGATCTTGTATGTAAGTTAACCAAATCTTTATATGGTCTGGAACAAGCACCCAAATGTTGGAATAACCTATTTCACAAAACCCTTACTAATTTAGATTTACGAAGATCTATGAAAGATCCTTGCTTATATTATAACAATGAGACTTTCCTTTTATTGTATGCTAATGACATAATTCTAATCTCAAAAACTCGCTCAAAAACTTCAAAAAGTATTGATTCTATTGTTATAGAATTGTCTAAAATTTTTAAAATGAAGCTATTTAAAATTGCAGAAATACACTGCGTATCCATGAACCAAGCAACTATGCGGATTTTGATTGGTAGTCCAGCAGGCAAGTACTTTCTGCTGGAAAGTATTCCGAAGGTAATGATATTTTGGTATGTCATTTGCGGGTAAAACTGAAAAAAAGTAAAAAAAGTTATTTATTATACAAGGGAAAAATGTACTACACCTTTTCCAATTGTATTTCAGAACGTGTCAAATGTATTTCAGAATAGCCAAATGTATTTTAGAAAGCGTCAAATGTATTTCAGAACAGTTAAATGTATTTCAGAAAGCGTCAAATGTATTTCAGAATAGTTAAATGTATTTCAGAAAGCGTCAAATGTGTTTCAGAATAGTTACAATGTATTTCAGAATAGTTAAATGTATATTTCAGAAAGCGTTAAATGAATTTCAGAATAGTTTAATGCTACTATTAGGCTTGTGTTGGGTCAGTCGGGCTAACGTAGGAAAAACTGCACAGACATAGGTAGGTAATTTTTTGTGTCGCCTCCCTCCTGAATTATTTTTGCCGAATTTTCACTTTCTAAAATACTTTTGGCTATTCTGAAATACATTTAACGCTTTCTGAAATACATTTAACTATTCTGAAATACATTCAACACTTTCTAAAATACATTTAACTATTCTGAAATACATTTAACGCTTTCTGAAATACATTTATCACTTTCTGAAATACATTTGACACTTTCTGAAATTCAATTGGAAAAGGTGTAGTACTAGCTAAAATCTTACTTTTTTCCCATCTATAATACAGTAGTCTTAGGAAATTGTAAAGACGCTGAAAAAAATTTAAAATCAAGACTGTCAGCCCCTTGAAAGCTCCAAAAATTCCAAAAATTTTGAAATGACTGCAAGCTCAAGACTAAAGATTTTTGAGACACAATACTAAAAAGTAAAGAATTCATCGATTCTGATTGAAGCCTTTTTTTCCAAGATTCGAAAGCTAAAATGGGTGATTAAAGACCTGAGACAGTAGTCTTTGGAAATTCTGAAAAGGTTGAAAAAAATTTGAAATTCTGTCAGTCTCCTGAAATCTCCACAGACTTCAAAAATTTTGAAAACTTCCAAGGTTTTCAAAGTTCATGACTTAAAACTAAAATACTTCAAAGATTCCAAAGCACAGCACTGGAAAGTGAAAATATAAGACTTTGAAATCCTCTAGAATCTTGTGTTTCAATGTCTCATTATCCAGGATTTAAAAAAGAGGACCAAAAACTCACTATCATTAATCCTAAGACTAAAGATTCCAAATTTAAGATTTAAGGCTTGAAGGATCAGCCACAAATCTTATGATTTATCAAAAATTCTAAAGTTCAAAAATCAGTGTCTCAAGATCTAAGGAAAGAAAACTAGAGACTAGAGAGTTAAGGTGATTTATTATGATTTAAGATCGTGCTGATTGAGAACTAAGTAAAAACTATAGTTTTCAGATATGTAAATGATGTGATAAAGAAAATTCCCAAAAATTTTGGAAACTTCAAATTTCAGACTTTTTTGGGGATCCCCAGACGGAGCTAAAAGTTTCGATTTCTGCTTCAATCCAAAATTTTGGAAGCAATTTTTGTCTTTTTCAAGTTTTTTAATTATGTAAAAAAATTGATAGTGTTTTGTTTTATAGGTAACTTGAAAAAAAACTTGGCTACTAACCCTACATTTTGTTTTTTTGTTTACCTTGATACTTTCAAAAATAAAAAAGTTACAGCGAATTAAAATGTTATCAAGATAAATTGAACGCACGGTACATATATTAAATTGAAAAACTTCTATTATTATTTCGGTTTGCATTTACAATACCACTAATTTAGGAGCTATTGAAATTTGTTTTATCAGCGACATCACGTTGTTGTTAGCGTCGTTGAGAAAAAATAACAACGGAATAAACGAACTTACTTTGGGAGTTAGCTGCGACAAAACGGATAATAATTTTTGACAAGTTGAGATTTTTTTTGTATCTTCGAACCACTGTATCTCGGTTACTATTGCGTTAAAGAATTGTTTTGACCAGTTAAATTCGAAAAAAAAAAATAATCTTCTTCAACTTTATAAATAGATCTATTCCGCTAAAAACGCACGGTTTAGAAGTTTTAAGCAAAAAACTGAAGAAGTTCGAAAATGTCTAGGTCACAAGATTAATTATGAAACAATTACTTAACAAAATATGTTCAAATATCACCCTTCTATTGAATTTGCAGTCATTGCGTTTTTTGAACACTGCAATAACAGACAAAATTATTATGTCAACTTATTCTCCATTTAATGGACTACAAAAAAAAATATTGCTACCTAAATTGAAACAGCCATTAAGGAAGTATTAACACTAAGGTTGCAAAAAGTCGAGTGACAAAATCAGTAATAAGCTCTCTTGACGCCAGAAAATAAACACCAAATACTTATTTATATACTATATTTCTAGAACAAAAATTTACTTACATAAAGCCGTCATCAATTTCCTAAGGTTGGTCATGGACATATAATTTCCTGTCACCAATTTATCAGCTACATAACAGAAAAACACTGAAGCTACGTAACTAGTGATGAATGGGGCTCCTGATAAGAGACCATTCTATAAGAAAGATAAAGATTAAATTAAAAAACAAAAATTAAAACATTTTTCAATAGAAGCTATCCAAATTAGACTTGAGATATTATTGGTTTTGTAGTTAAGAACAGACTTTTTATTACAGTTAATGCCTTTAAGTAATTTGAATTTAGTTCCTCACCTTTTCTATACTAAAACCTAAAATTCTTTTCATATAGGTTGGTCCTGAGATAATAAACGTATAATGTACCCATATTCTACCGAACGTTGTTATACCTATAGACCATGCAGGTTTAGAAAATAATATAGATTTCCATGGTACTTTTTGAGTCCTGAAAATTAATCGAATGGTTTTCTTAAGAATTGAAACAAATAGATATCCTTACCTAGAATTCTCATAGGTATTTACAGTATTTTCTCTAATATATTTTTGTTCCCTAAGACTAATTCGGGGATGAATTTCGGGACTATCAAACGCCAACAAATACCAAATAAGACACCACGACACTCCAATGGAACCTGTAGTGTAGAAAACTGATCTCCAGCCCAAATGCGCTATCAGAAACCCACATAGAGGGTAGGTTACACCGATTCCTATGCTAAAACCTAGAAGAATTCGATTTTTAAGTTGTTGCAAATCAATTATAGGAAATATTTACCTTGAAAACTGGACATAAATCTGCTCCTCTCGGGCACAGGGATCCAATGTCCGACCAGCGCGTACATGGCAGGCCATGTCAGACCCTAAAAGAGGTTAAGTCATTACACATATCGGGCACACCAAGTGACGTGCAACGTGACGGCGGACCAGCTCTTCTCGGCACTCTAATTTTAAACACAGATTTTTCACAATTTGTTTTCATCAGCTAAAATATGAATGAAAAAACATACAAGTTTGACTTACCGAAGCGAATCCTTGGATACATCTCAGAGCAATCACAAATCCCCAATGAGTCTCGGAGGCTATAGGAATACATAAACTGGACAGGGCAGTGGCAAGTTGGGCATAGCCGAATACCTTTTTGGTGCCTAGTTTTTGGGTGGCTAAACCTCCTATTATTTGGGATACTATGTAGGCCCAATAAAATGAGGCTAGGACGTAAGATTGAACTGGGCCAGACCAGTTTAATGTTCCACCATAATCCTGGAAGAAATTATTGAGTTTATTCAAAAGTGGAGTGACAGTCATTGTGCAGGTTTTTATCTCTTTTAGAATGTAGCGACCATTTTTTACAAGTGCAGCCAAATTTGTAATTGAACAAGTATTTATAAAATATTGGATCATATCAGATGACCCTTCAGCTAACCCAAATGATATAGGTTTATGCAATATTTATTTATTTATTTATTTATTTAATTAATTATTTAATTATTTATTTATTTATCAACGGGTAATTTCCCAATAGGAAAAACAGTAAATCAAAACCCCAGAAATCCGATCAGCAATAACAATGAGTTACAACACAGACCATTTTAAACAAAATATAAAATTAAAGACTGAAGCTAAAATAAAATATTAAACAATAATATACCAGTTTATTCTTAAAAGTTCTTTGGTCAACAAAAAAGTCTAGAGTATCACAGTGTTGATTGGCAAGTTGAGCGGTCCTAGACAAAAATGAGTTTAAAACATAGTTGGTTCTATGGGGTGGAGCATAAAAAGAAAGGGTTCTGTCTAGTTTGCCTTAAAGGAACGTAAAGCCCAATTTTTTCAGTAAGATCAGGAGCAAAACTGTGAGAGTGCAGCAAATTGTAGAACATTGTAAGGTCCCTGTGAAGGCGAATAACTTGAAGAGTACCAATATTTAGATAGTTTTACATTTCAGAATAGTTGATGTTTTCAGCTGTATGATGCTCTTTGAAAGAGATGGACGTCAAAAGCTTATGTGCACTCTTTCAATAGCCTGGTTATCGACATCGTAATGAGGAGACCAAACACAATTTTTGAGACAACCGAATATCCAGAATAACTCCCAAATCTCTTATCTGAGAGACAGCATTCAGCGGACAACCATTCACAGAGTATACCCACTGGGTGGGGTTTCTGCCATGACTGAAAATCATTAGATGGCTATTTTTAACATTTAACTCCATTCCATTTTGATTACACCAACCAGACAAACGATCCAAGTCAGATTGTATTTTTAAACAATCTTCGGTATTGTCGACTCTCATGTAAAATTTTAAATCATCGGCAAACATTAAAAAATTAGTGTAAAAAACAGGACGAAATATCATTAACGTACACATTAAACCGCAAAGGGTCAAGATGCGAACCCTGAGGCACTCCTGATGGGACTTGGATTTCAAATGACTTGTAACTTTGAACACGTATTGTCCGTCGTTTTTAATCTGACACTTTCCGTATAAGGAGCGAGGGGGTGACGTATATGGCAAAAACAGGTGTGACGTCCTGACGTCACACCCAGCCCTGGCTGGGACTCTGTAACGAATAGAGATATTTTCTATATCTCTATTGACATCTCCTTTCTATTGATTTCGACAAGAGAGAAGAGGGATAGCGATAGGGATAACGATCTCTATCCGTTACAGAGTTCCAGCCCAGGTGACCATTGGCGTTCTAATGTAGGATGCCACCAGCTCACTTTCCTTTCGAGTATCAGATTAAAATCGACGGACTTTACTAATTGCGTTCTACCAGAGAGATGACATCTTAACCACCAATTTTTGAAATAGTACATCGTGGTTTACACGATCGAACGCCTTTGAAAAATTGATGTATATAGCGTGTACAGGGTGGGCATTTTATTAGGGGCCTATGTCTTTTCTCAGAAACTACAGGGTGTACAAAAAAAAATATAAAAATAAAAGTTTCTTGGTTTTAAGCAATGTTGTCAATTATTTGAGTTTTCTTTATACAGGGTGTCCCACAAGTGCTGCACCGACTTCAAAACCAGAATTTTAAATGGGACACCTTGTATATTTTTAGATTTTTGGATTCCCGGAGAAAAATAAAGGTAACTTCCATAAGGACTCCCTTTTCGAATTTTGTGTAATTTAGGAAGAAATTGAGGTTATGTATTTTTTTTTAGCAAATTTATGGCCTCGCCAAATAGTGTCTTGTGCGGCTGGTAGTTGAGATTATTTAATAAAATTTCAACCACACCTCAAGAAGACTACCTCCCAACGATCTACGATGTCTAGGTGCTTTAAATTTATACAGGGTGTCTCAGATCATAGGACATTTTTTTCAATTTTCAATATCCAAGTTTTTTTTAATGGATGTATTTTTTTTAGTATTTTAAATTATATTATTTCATAATATTTGGTTGGGGTGATTAGAAAATTAAATAAACTTTTCTTTAAATTTAAACATTTGTTACTGATATTAGGATCCTTTAATAGAGTGTGTGTCTAATGCTATAAACCATTTAGAGGCCGTTTACACTACATGCATAGCTCAAAATGGAGGACATATTGAAAACTTACTTCAGTCTGTTACTTAGCTTTAATTTAGGTGTTGATGTATTTTTTTTAAAGATTATTCTTTGAAATTATATATTAAAGCATATCGATGAAGTAAGTGGTCTAAATATTTCGTGAACTATTAGATTTAGGTATGGGACATATATACCGGGTGACAATGAAACTACTACCCACGGTGGCATTTCTTAACGGCTCCAGATAGAAATATGCAAGTCGGTTTGTTGATAGGGTTGAAAATTGTGAACAATTTCAATATAAAAACAATTGAATGTCTTTTCCGGTTTCACCGGAAATGGCATTGACTTTGTTATTTTAAATGGGACACCCTGTAAATATATATTTTTTTGGACTCTCTGAAGAATTCTAAATAACTTTTGTCCAACATACCCTATGTCAAAAATTGATAGTTTTTGAAATAGAGTGGCTCAAAACTATGTCGTAATTTCTATTTGTTTGTATTTTACGTGAAAACTGCCATTTCCGGCATAACCGGAAATACATTCAATAATTGTTTTTATATTAAAATTGTTCACAATTTTCAACCCTATCAACAAACCGGGTTGCATATTTCTATCTCGAGCCGTTAAGAAATGCCGCCATGGGTAGTAGTTTTGTTGTCACCCGGTATATGAATGGATAGGTATTTTTAGTCTTTTCAACAAAAAAATATCAAATATAGGGTGTTCTATTTAAAAAAACTTGGATATTGAAAATTGAAAAAAATGTCCTATGATCTGAGACACCCTGTATAAAGTTAAAGCATCTACACATCGTAGATCGTTGGGAGGTAGTCTTCTTGAGGTGTGGTTGAAATTGAAGACCCTGATGCAAGAAGGGGATAAGTAACAATATGTAAATTTTTCAGGAGAAGCAAAAAAAGTATTTATTTTAAAATTAAATTTTATGTTGATTTAAACAGCATTTAACAGCCAAATAAGAATGCTATTAAGCAACAAAGAATTGTGGTGCAATAATGGGATAAGTTTAAAACTTTTATTAACATAATTTACAGCAGGTGCAAGAAGGGGATAAGTTACATTAAAACCATTTTCAGCAAAAAAAATAAATTATTATTCAATGTGTATCAACCTTAGATGAATATAAACTAAAGCAATATGCTAATAATTTCAACAGAAAGTCGAATGTTTCTTATAAGAATAGTCAACTAGTATAAAAAATTTGTAGTTTTAAAGAAATAAAAATAGTGTGATCAATTAATCAGACTCAAAATCACTGGAGATATTAGTGTCCTGTGACATTTGAATCAACTTCGCTACCTCTGCTAGAACTTGAAGGCAGGAACTCACTCACTGCCTGAACTTTGAAATAGTTCATCCTCCTTACAGGTCTGAACTCATAATATTGTCCTATGATATTTTAAAAAATAAAAAATAACACAATATTTTAATACACCGCACCCTCACTTAGGTACCAGGTTAACTTATTTTTACTGTCCAAAAAGTTGTCTCTGGTCCAACAGTTTTTTGGTGACTACCTAGCTGACTGAGGTCGTATGCACACATACCTTGCCTGATCATGCGAACATAATGTCCTGTGCATTAGTGGGACAAAATTTCCCACATATAAAAATGATACTAACTTTGGTGCAAGAACGGGATATGTTACACAAATCTTATCCCATTATTGCACCAGACCATACCAGGGGATATGTGGTTTTCTATCATAATTCAGTATCTATTAGGCGTACGTATCCCATACTTGCACCAGGCAAGAAGAGCACCTTTTTAAACCTAAATATGCAGTTATCTCACTTTTGCAGAATTATGCACTTATCCCCTTCTTGCATCAGAGTCTTCAATTTTAATAAATAATCTCAACTACCAGCCGCACAAGACACTATTTGCTGAGGGCATACATTTGCTAAAAAAATACATGACCTCAATTTCTGCCTAAATTACACAAAATTCGAATAGGTAGACCTTATGAAAGTTACCTTTATTTTTCTCCGGAAATCTAAAAATGTAAAAATATACAAGGTGTCCAATTTAAAATTCTGGTTTTAAAGTCGGTGCAACACTTTTGGGATACCCTGTATAAATAACACTCAAATAATTGACAACATTGCTTAAAACCAAGAAACTTTTGTATTTATATTTTTTTTGTACACCCTGTAGTTTCTGAGAAAAGACATAGGCCCCTAATAAAATGCCCACCCTGTACATGATACCCCTCCTCCAGGGCCTCCAACAAAAAGTCAGTAAATATGAGTTGTGTTCAGTTGAGCGATACGCAAGAAACCCAAATTGTTTGTCACTAAAACTGCTTCCCAAATTCTTAGCTAGAAAATCACAAAAAAAGCTTTCAGAGACTTTAGGTACACAGCTCAGTATACTAATGGGCCTATAGTGATCAACTTGCACTTTATCTCTTGATTTTAGAATAGGCGTAATAAAGCTAGATTTCCAGAAAGCTGGAAAAATACCGTTGTCCAAAGATAGATTAAAGATGAAGTGAAGTGGACGTGCCAGTATAAAGCTACGTTGTTCTAGAAGACTTGGGGGAATCCCAACTGGGCCTGGACTCTTGCTAAGGATGACAGGTTTACATAAATTTTAGAAATAGAAAGGTTACAACTAGACAAATTAATATGACTAAAAGAGGGGACATGTGTGAAACATCACAGACATTATCAGAGTACATTTTCGAGAAATACTCAGCAAATAAATTCACAATTTC